AGGGACACCCAGACAGGGCAGCAGAGGCAAGTTCTGGGGTGGCAGCTGAGAAAAGAGAGAAAAGAAACAACAAAATGACACCGAAGGAGGATGGGCAGCAGTCAGTGGAAGGCTTGCATCAACCTGCTCAGAAGCACAGGACACAGCTCAGGTCCAACACGGCACCTGGTGCCTCCATACCATGACCCAGCAGCCCAAGGGTCTGCTCCTGCGTGAGCATCCAGCACCCTGGTGCCACTGCACCTCTCCTCAGCCCGGGCAGCCTCCACAAACATGGGAAAAACCCTGGATGCCATTCCGTCACAGCAGCATGTTTAGCTCCGCTCTGAGGCTGATGTGGGCTAACCACAAAGCCTACATGGATGCATTTGACTTGTTTCTCCAGGGTCTGGTTGCACCTTTTTAGTGTACATGAAGGTGCCTCTGTATCCAATTTAGCTTTCTGTCCTCAAGAAATCTGAATGAGACTTAGACATTCAGGAAGTTTTACAGTTAGTCACTGCAGAACAAGGTGCATGGGGTTATATGACACCCTCTTTTATAAACGGTTCCTCAAGATTTCTAGCTCTAAAAGACGCCCAGTCTCAGCTGCAAACCCGTTAATTGTGGCTGCCCTGCCTGGCCCAAGCAGTCCCTGGCAGCACTGACTCATCATTCCTCTCCTTGAATTAAAATACATGAAGGCTCCAAATTGTGCTTTAAGCCTACGCACGCGGCTTTGCTTCTGATTACTGCCACATTTGGCTTTCTGTCCTGGTGCTTATTTACTTTGATGCATCAGAGTTTTGGGTTTATTTTGCCTCAGACATGAGTGGCCAGAACTCCTTCCTAGAACATTAAACAAGGAGGCAGGTAGCTTAACAACTGCTAAGCAGTAATGACTCGAGAAGTTTTGAAGGAGGACTTAGAAAAAAAATATCCAAAGCTCAACAAAGCTGTAATGGCTGAGACAAAAATCAGAATAATTCCTGTGCTTCAATTAGTTGGAGACATTAAAAGGAAATCATGCCCTAAAAACATGATCAATCTCATTTCCTAAAAAGAAATCCTTCTAAAAATGACATTTTTTTAGTTAAAAATACAAACCAACCAAACCTAAACATATTTGATCAATTACAAAAATATTTATGTCACAACAACCAGGCTGTTCAAAACCACACAATGATTCACAAAGGTCTGGGAAACTTAAAGCATAGCAGCTGGAGTGATGATTTAATTCCAGAATCTGTGTGAATCAGGTTTTCTGTAAATTAAAAGGATAGATTCAGAGAAATGCAAAGGCACTTGTTTGAGTCTGTACGGTTTGGAAAGTTATCCATAATAAAACCATTAAAATGCACAATAGCACAAGTTAACAGTTAACTTGTGTGCCTGTGTACTTCATTATTTCCTTTTATTACATGTAAGTAGGGAAGTATCTCATGTAAGCTTTTCCTAAAGACACAAAGAAACCTTTCAATGAAATTTATTGCTTGGCAAGTTTCTCGTTGTGGTGCTGTAAAAATCCCACCAACTAATACGTATAATAACTGGAGTAAGGCTTTATAATAGTAGAAAATTATTACCCTGTGGAATTAAGATGGAACTGCTGGTTCCAGTTGACTGTCAGATACTTTTTCAATCTAGGCAACAGAATTCAAATAATAAATTACAACACTACTTTATAAATAGCTACAAATCATTTCCCCAGTGAATGAAAACCCCATTTACCCCTGCGTACGTACTGTGTGTACGCAGGGCGCTGTAGGAATGACTGAAATAAGATGACCTTCAGTGGCTGATCAAGCTGAGAGAGAGAAAATGAATTTCACGTTGACACTGAAGCAGCTAAAGCACTTCTTTGCGCTTTCCACCAGCTGGGATGCAAGCCAAGCATTCAGCA